GGGCTGTGGACTGATGAAACTAGAACAGAGTTATTTGGGCATAACAAGGAGCGTTATGCATGGAGAAAGAAGAAAACAGCATTCCAAGAAAAACACCTGCTACCTACAGTAAAACATGGTGGTGGTTCCATCATGCTGTGGGCTGTGTGGCCAGTGCAGGGACTGGGAATCTTGTTAAAGTTAAGGGACGCATGGATTCCACTCAATATAAGCAGATTCTGGAGACCAATGTCCAGGAATCAGTGACAAAGCTGAAGCTGCACCGGGGCTGGGGCTTTCAACAAGACAACGACCCTAAACACTGCTCAGCATCTACTAAGGTGTTCATGCAGAGGAACAAGTAGAACGTTCTGGAACGGCCATCTCAGTCCTCAGACCTGAATATTGTTGAACATCTGTGGTGTGAGTTAGAGAGTTGTCCATGCTCAGAAGCATCAGACCTGAATGAACTAGAGATGTTGTGTTATTGAAGAATGGTCCAGAACACCTTCAGCCAGAATCCAGACTCTCACTGGAAGCTATAGGAAGAGTTTAGAGGCTGTTATTTATGCTAAAGTAGGATAGACTAAATATTGAGGTCATTCCTTTTTTGTCCAAATTTATGCACCTGCCTTATGTTGTTTATACAATTATTGCACACTTTCTGTAAATCTAATAAACATTGTTTCACTTCTCAAATATCACTGTGTGTGTGTCTCCTATATGATATATTTAACTGATTTTTTTTTTATCGTAAGAATCAACGATTTCCCTTTATGAATCTTAGACTAACAAGGCTGCCATAACTGTCTCATCCCGCTGTAGCATGCACACACATTACTGCACAGACAAATATATTCCATTATGTGCACCCTGAGGTTCAAGCAAGCCCCCACAATGCAGCTCTAAAATTGAGGCATACCCGGAAATGGAATAAATTGCAGTTCCACCCTCATCCACTAGGGGCTGGTGTCAGAAGTGAGCAAATCCTCATTGACTCCCATGTTAAAAATACCAATTTCACAGCAGAAATAAACATGTTTACAGCCTGGTACCAAAACATGTTTTTGGTTTAAATGATCTAGTTTACACCCATGACAACTCTGAGGTGGGTGAATTTTTTCTCACTCTTCTGTTTAAGTGTATTAAAAGCCTAAAATTCTGTATAATTAATGAGCATCAGACCCACGTGACCACAGAGCTAGCTCTGTGGAAAGGCCTCAGTACAGCCTCGGTCTGGCCTGGAAACTGTTCCGGGATTTTGAGTCTCTGTGTTTGTGTATTCTTTTTTGGATATTTTTTGTGCAATTGTTGGACAAAATGACTTGCATTGGCATTAATTGCACTAATAGAGCGTCCAAGGAGTCTCCACTTCATTTTTTTCGGTAAGTAAAATTATATTTATGTATTTTAGGTCACTGCCGAGCTGAGCTTAGATTTTAACATGTACTGTTTAACCATGAAATTTAAATGTAATAGGGTAAAACCCAGTGCATTTAACATAATGCTGCACTTTAGAAAATGGGTTGAAATATAACATGTTGGTGGAGCTGGGTTCCGACTATTGGCTTGTGGAGCTCTCGGGAGACCGATGTTTTCCACCCGGTTCTCCCCTGGCTTTGCGGCTTCTGTTTGCTGTGCGGGCTGCCGGCTTGTGGAGCTCTGGGATGGAAACCTTTCCACCCGGTTCTCCCCAGCAGCAGCTCTGCGCATCTCAGATCGCAGCGGCGCTTGTCTGCTGTGCGGCTGCCGGCTTGTGGAGGTCTCGGAGACCTCTGTGTTCCACCCGGTTTTACCCAGCGGTCAGCCCGGCGAATCTCTGACTCAGAAGCTCTGGTGTTGTGCACAGTTAACTCCGGTTGTAGCTAGGTTGCTACCTCCGTTAGCTTAGCTTCCACCTCCACGTTAGCTTTGGGTTAGCCAGGGTTAGCTTCGGGTTAGCTTGTAGCTAGTTCGACCGGGTGTCGTCGGTTGATCCCAGCCTTACAGCCCCACCCTCAGCTCCTCCTCTCTTCCCTTTTGTGGAATTGTCTGGGCTTGACGGAACCTGTGACACGGTCAAAATGGCGGTGGTGGCCACCTCCCATTTGGCCTCAAAAACGTGATATTGGAGCCTATGGAAAGGAGATGTCCAGTATATTTATGTCGATGTGTTCAATTGTTAAGCAAAGATGATTAGAATAAACTGAAATACATTGTGTTCTGTAAAGTACAATTTTGGACTCAAGAACATACTCATGTAAAGCCTGTTCAATATTCAGAGTATTACTCAGCAAGATGGCATCTGCAGGATGGTGCTAACAGTCAAACCATTCTATTTATCGCAGGGCATCCGTCACATAAACATTAAGCATATTTCAGCATGTTTGGCATCTTATTATTCCAATTTATAGGAAATTCACAAAAACAATAATCCTTTGACCTTTACCCTGATTCACACTGACTACGGAACTGATACGGCTGATTCCCATATGCTTCTGGGTGGATTGCAATTCACACTGACTGCTTCTTATGTGCTGAACGTCTTCAGAAATGGGCTCCAGCAAGAGCAATAGTTTGCAAAACATGAAAAGTAATGACAAGAAATTTGAAACAATAAATTTGAAGATACACTTTTAAAAATAAAGTGAGCTATCATACACAGAATTGATATTGTTCTAATTAATAATAAAACAAAAAGCTGAGGAAAAATGCAACACAAGTGTTACTTTCAAATGTATTGGATACACCTCTCTGGCCACATCACTTCCTGTCTGGCTCGTGTCATTTCTTTAACTCAATGAAAATCTGCATGCAGTGTCTTTAAAAAATAGAGTCCATGTGGAAACTTTCTAGAATTTTCTGGAGCTTGCAGATCCTGACCGTACCGCAGTCAATGACAATGTTTTCACTGCACTCAAATTTTTCGGGTGTTTACGGAGCGTTAAGGAGTCCAGACCACACACGTTCCATACTCGGTGTGAGTCAGTCATAACTCTAACCCGTGACCCTGTTTTGGTGATTCTACATGTTTTGACCAAATACTGCATCAAAACCAGAGATTATGTTGGCTTATTACAGGTAGTGTTTTCTAGTTTGTGAAGTTGCAGCTCAGCTCAGTGGCCTAGTGGTAGAGTGTCCGCCCTGATAATGGGAGATCAGGGTTAGATTCAAGGTCGGGTCATACCGAAGACTTTGAAAAAATGGGACCCAATGCCTCCCTGCTTGACACTCAGCATTAAAGGGTTGGATTGGGGGGTTAAACCACCAAATGGTTCCCGAGCGCGGCCGTGTCTGCAGCTCACCACTCCCCCAGGGGATGGGCCGAATGCGGAGAACAAATTTCGCACACACACCTGTGTGTGTGACAACTAATGGGACTTTAACTTTAAAGTTACTCGTTTACAGTGTATCACTGTGACAACATACAGACTAGTTAGACTGGGCACAGAGATAACAATAACCTCATGAGATAAAAATCTGACCAAAATAACACAAGACAGATAAAAGCGACAATTTAAAAGAAACTGGCTGTCACACACTTTGCATTTTGTATGCTAGGAACTAAAAACAAGTCTTCATTTGACTCTCGAGGGTGGGGAGCAAAGGCGCTTGTCTGATTAGACAGAAAGTCATTCCACAGATTTGAGGCAAAGACTGATAAGGCACATTCCCCTCTTGATTTGAATTGATGCCTTAGGACTGCCTACATACCATGTTCCGATGAAGGAGACGGGGCAGCATGCTGGTGGAGCAGGTCTGCCAAATACCGAGGGGCAATACCATGTGAGGACAAACGATGTTGAAGTGAACACGATGTGTGACAGGGCTGCTGAAAAAAACAGGAGTGATATGCTCACTCTGCCTAGTGCCAGTCAACAGTCCCGCAGCCGAATTCTGGATGACCTGAAGTCTTGTGACAGGAGCCTAGCTGATCCCTGCATATAGTGAAATGCAGCAGTCCAACCTGGTAGGGATGCACCGATACAGATACTGGTATCTGTATCGGCACCGATACGATGCCAATACCAGTATCGGTATCGGTAAAAGTTAACCGATACCAATGCAGTCGCTTGAAAATGGCTTCACTGTAACTTGTCATTTCTGTTCACCTAATATTTTAGTTTTGTGATGATTTCCATTCATATATTTTACTTTTTATCTACCTCACAGTATTTTCCTGTTAAAAGCAGAGAAGAAAATAAAATCTGTATTCCAAATCATTGCCTTTTTTGTATGGTAGAGGTATCGGTATTGGTAATCGGTATCGGCGAGTACTCAGATCCAAGTATCGGTATCGTATCGGTTTGGAAAAAAGTGGTATCGTTGCATCCCTACAACCTGGAGGTTAAGAATGTGTGAATCAGTATTCTAGGTGTGCACACTGCACGTGAAATGGCTTCATTTTAGCTAAGCAGCACAGATGAAAATAAAAACAAGATCTAACAGTCCTGTTCACCGGGCTGTCAAAAGCCAGATCTGCATCCGCTTTACTCCCAGGTTCGTTACCGCTGCCTTCTCCAAAGAGGCCACCGAGGCAAGGTCAGACCCAAGTGCCCATGTCTGTTACTAGGCTCAAATCCATGACTTAACTTTTCCTTCATGACAACACAAGTAATTGTGAGAAATCTGGCATTTAATGTTCAGAGCAGGCTTGACGGAACTGGAGGAACAGTCTCTCACAGGACAATAGTCGAGCACACACGTTTAATGGTTGTAAAATGTCTAAAGTTTGGACTCAGCTCTGTGTCTTTAGATAATTACTCATGTTTTATTAGAACAATGTGAACAAATAAACCACATAACGGTCAGGAAGTAACGGAGCCTTTGCTGTAAAGCAGCAGCTTTTCAGCTCATTTAAAAAAGAAAAAGATGGTAAACCGTCTTTAACGTGAATACTTTTGGAGTTTTACAACAGAGTGAATCTAAAACCCTATAATAAATGTCTACCTTGTTTCTTGATTTTCTTTTTAAATTGGGCCAGTTTTAATTTTGTTCCAAGCCCAGCCCTCACAGGCCTCACCTGAAGAACAAACACCCACCTTTGGATGATTCATCCTCAATGGGTTGCTTGAAGGCTGTGATGTCATTGAAGGTGCAAAGAAACAGAACAACTTCATCCTTCTCGTTCCTGATTGGAGCAATCTTTACAAAAAACCAGACCGGCAGCCCTGCAACAAAAAAAGGGTGTCATTTACAATAAGGAACACCTTCCAGGCAGGTAACAGAGCACAGTGCAGTTCTTACGATTTTTCTTGTACATCAGAATCTCAAAAGAATTCGTCTCGTAGTTCTCAAAGGTATGGCGAACTTTCTCACTGGTCTCTTTGTCCGTCAGTTCTCCATACATGAAGCTGCATAAAAAAGATGGATCATGTATGTTGGTGCAAATCATCAGGTCTAACCAATTTAACATGGTTCTGTTTGAGTGTGTAGTTATACCTGCAGGTGCTGCTCTTCTGCATGACCTCAGCTCGGTTATAACCAGACAGTTTGCAGAAGCCATCGTTGCTGTAGACAACTGGCCAATCCACAATCTGAGCATTCCCCAGCACGAAGTTGGTATCTGGACACAGAGAAAAAGTAGCTTAGAAACCAAGATGTTTTATTCTGCTGTTATCTGGTTACTGAGCCTTTAAGTACTCTCTCACTCAAAATTCAATTACTGAAATCACTATACAGTGATCCCTCGTTTATCGCGGTAGATGCGTTCCAGACCTGGCCGCGATAGGTGAAAATCCGTGAAGTAGGGACTCCATATTTAAAGTATTTATTTAACAGGAGAAGGAGCGCAGCTGATCCTCATCAGCCTGATTAGCGGGACGGCTTTAAAAGGAGGACGGTTATCCAGATACCACGCCGGATGATTAACTACTGCCTGACTCGCTTCTCCTCCGGATTCGCTCCTGTCTTGGAGACTTCTGGATACTCACTGGTTCGCTGCCTGGATACCAACTCCGCTCTGCCGTCCCACTCTCCACCGTGCTCATGCTCCCTCTCCGTTACCTCGTCCTCCTCATCCGTCTACTCTGTCACCTGGAAATCTACAATTCACCTCTGGATATCACCCCGGCTCAACTCCACATTCACCCTGAACTTCCGCATTTTGCCGCTTCCTGGTTTACCCTCCGCTGGATCACCAGTGCGCCCTCAGTTTTCCTCATCATTAAAGAAATAATATTATTGTTTATCTTTTACCTCGACTCGACTCTGATTCTGTATGTCTTGGGTTAGACACTTACCCCAAAACATGACAGAAAAATACCGCGAATCGGTGAAAAATTCCGCAAATCGGCGAATTTCCCTTGAATAAGGCTCCAAAGAAAAAATCCGCAAAGTTGTGAATCCGCGATAAACGAACCGCGAAGTAGCGAGGGATCACTGTACTTTGAACCATATTTTTATCCACTTCCACTGATCTGCAGAAAAATCATCTGCCCATCTGAAAGCCCTTTAACCCTCTGGAGGCAGGCGTTGCAGATTTGCAACGTTAAAACCTACCTGGTTACTCTACGTATTTCATGAGCATGTTTTAACTCAGAAGTACCCATGAAGGACTTCGTTGTTCGTCCTTTTATTGAAACTTATTTTGAGCCTGAGAGGGTTTAAAAAATAAGAACGCTGAGAAAGTGTCACGGTTTGTGGTGAGTCTCCCTGTCTCCCTGTCTGATGTTTTCCTGACTCCTCTAATTGCATGTAGGTATTCCAGCCCAGGGCATTTAAAGGGACATTCCACCCCTAAGTGAAAATTTGTCTATTTCCGTAATCCTCAGAGTTAGATAAGTAAGAAAAAAGCATTTTGTAACAAGAGCAGTGACTCTCCTGGCCTGGCAGCAGTCCGTCTGCTTGTCAGCACATTTGTCCGTGCCCCCCCCCCCCCCCCCCCACACACACACACACACACCTCCATTCTATTTCAATTATCACATTTTTATAACGTATACATCTCTTCAAACCTAATGATCATATTACAGCCATAATTCCAAGTGATACAAATTGAACATACAGTGAACAGTGAACAATGCTTCTCTCATCAACATTCATCCATCAACTTATAAAGGAGGTATAGTGGGGAAAAATACCTTGAGAAGGAAATCAGCATGAAGTTCCAACACCTGAATACTGAATGTTTTCCCTTTCCCTCTTCTTCCTTTCCTCCCTTATTTCTGTCCTACTCTACTTTTTGAACTATTTATTTTAAGCTGTGTAACTGGGTTTGATTATTCTTTCCTTCCCTCTCCATTTTTCTTTTGACCTCCTCTTCCCTTACCTTTCTCTCCTTTTATGAATCTTCAGTGCCATCTATCAAATCTAGATTTCTAACAAAATCAACGATTTTCTCGCATAAGCAACTCTCTCGAGCGGGAGGCGGTTCATTGTCTGTTTTATCCAATGTTTGAAACTGGGTCCACGTACATGTTTGCTATAGCAATACATTTCTTAGCTGGTAACAAACTTATATCTGTAAAAGTGCAGTCTGTCTTGGTGTAATTACGTATATACGTATACGTTCTAGGACTCTAGAAGGAGCTATATCAAATACAGGCCATTTATCATTTGAGTAAGACTTTACCAACGAATGGCCGTTAGGGTCAAAATCCCTTGGTGCACAATTTTTGAAGGAGTACTTTGTCAGGTTGATCAATCTTGAGCAAAATGACAAGTACATCAGACTCCCTTTCATCACTGGCAACAAGTGAAGTGGCCTAATAAACCCTCCCAGTGTCTCCCTACAAACAAAGAGCGTGATTGCCCTGGCCAAAACTTAGCTGAGGCAATGGTAGACCTGCTAACCCAAAAATTCCACTACCTCCGCTCCGGCACGAACTCCGCAGCAAAAACGGTCCCGTTGTAGTCAATCAGAGCTGTTCCACTACTGCGGCCGTTCCACCGTCCGGCAAAAAAAATAGGATTGATTCTATTTTTGCCGGACGCCGGAGCACCTCCGCAGTCAATGGACAGAAATCACAACCGCCCAACAGGAAAGGGAGCAAGCACAGCTTCCGTTATTTCACAATAAATCGATAAACAAAAAGCGTTTTTTTGTTTCATATGCACAGGTTTAACAACTTTTAACAACTATCAATGGCGGCTGAACTTTAAATGCACAAAAATAAGCCATAAATACAGTTTCCACTATCAAAGTAGTCGCCCTTTGTTGATCCAAACACTGCTGATCTCTCAACACAAATGATGGGCAGATTAAACAGTTCATTTCGATGCTTCTCCCACACAACGGGTGTTTGGATCTAACTTCCGCGTTTATTGCTCGGACTGTATCGCAAGATCTCGAAAATCCCGCGCATGCTTGTTTGCGCACCTCAGGTCTCCGCACCGGAGCGGAACCGTTGTAGAGCGGGTACCAGTAAAAATTGAGTTCGGAAGCGAGCGGCTGCGGAAGGCGGGGGCGGAGCGGAGCGGAGGTAGTGGAATCTTGGGGTAAGAGTTCAGTGCAGCTAGATGAACATACAGAGAAAAATCATCAGCTGTTGCTACAGGTCGTCTAGATTTCTAGGCCAAGACATAGATGACCCAGTCTGAAACCTCCCCACTGTTGCCAAATGGAGATGAAGAAAGAAATCTGAGAAATTCCAGATAAAAACTGTGTAAACAATGTCAAATTTTATGTATAATTTTCATCAATTACTTTTATGTTTGAGTGTTTTGATATTTTGTGATTCCCTTCCGAATGCTTTTCTTTTGTTCCCCTAGATATTTCTGAGCATTTAGTTTTATTATTTTTGTTTGTCCAAGCCAAAGACTATTGCTGCCACAGTCTAATAAAGACCTGATCTAAATCAAATGTGTGCTACAAGCTCTCTTGCAGTGACACTGCTTGCTCCATCCACCCATCTTCTCCCACTTACTCATGATCAGGTCGTGGAGTAAACAGTTGCAGGAAGGAAACCCAGACTGTCTCCAGCTCCCTCTTCTCTCTAGAAGAAGCAACAGATCCACTCCAAGCTCCTCTCTGATGATGGAGATCCTCCTCTAATGTCCGAGGCTGAATCCAGACACTTTACCGAGGAGCTCATTTCAGCCAGTTGTGTTTAGGATCGCATTTTGTTGATCATGATCCAAATCTCAAGACTTCTTTTAATGTGAACAGACCAGCCAAGTCGAAACTCTTGCCTTTTAGTTAGGGTCAGCTCCCGATTCACCAGTCCCTTTGCCTGGAGGCGCTGATTCGGCACAGCAAACGGTTCTGGATGAATTCTGGTCCTCTGAATGAGTCCAATAGTACATCTGTTGGTTTTCTTCCAAAAGTTCCAGCTGCTACAATTCAAAAGTCATGCTAATTATGAATGTAACTGTCTGACCATGAATTCTCCGTTTTGGGTTAGTGATCCAGATGTATTCTTCTACTCACACGAGACCCCAACCCCCTTTAAACTGTATGGTTCAGGGGCGGCGTTAGGCCCGGCTACTTGGGCTGAAGCCCCGGATGTTTCATGAAAAGCCCCGGATCTAAATCGCGGAAGTAACATGCAGTACCAAAGTCCAACAGAGAGGGAGCAGCTGGCAGTAGTTTGTATGCAGCCTGCCTGAGCCTCCACCACTGAAGAAGAAGCCCTTCAGCAGCCGGCTTCTTCTACAGTCTCTGCCTGAAACGCATGAGTGAAGATGGACATAAGGACGTTTTTTAGACCAAAAGTACCGCGACAGAACCCCAGCTTTGATGAGACTGGTGTTGACTCAGGTTTGTGGGTCTTATTTGAAAATATTTGTTGTGCTGCTGGTTTGCCTAAAGTTAGCTTACTATCAGGTAAAGTTGTTGGAGAAAGAAAGGGAATATTTACTATCATCTCACACTAAACACTAACAGGAACAATACTCTGCCCTGAATATGCTTCATATGTAGCTTCAGATTAAAAATTGTGTGGTACAAGGCATGTATGATGTTGACTAGTGCGTGTCACGTGTGTGCGTGTGTGTGTGTGTTAAGCCCCGGATCTTCTTCAGCCCTAAATCCGCCCCTGCATGGTTACAGACGGATTGTTAATAAAGTACAATAACTATGGTGGTTTAGTGTCGCTTTAACAAAAACAAAATCAGAAATGGATCATTGTTTGGGTTTTATTATTGTTTTATTGTATTTTATCACGTGTTTTCTGTAAAGTGACCTTGGGTGTCCTGAAAGGCGCTTTTAAATAAAATGTATTATTATTATTATTATTATTATTATTATTATTATTATTGTACGCCACTGGCTGAACTACTGTGTTATTTATGTTTTACAGTAGAATGACCTTATTTTTATAACTCATTTATACTGTGGATAAGTATGAGACGCACAGCTTTAAGGGTGCATCTGTTTGATTGTTTTCTTCATCAGATATGTTTCATCGCTTGCAATTAGGATCCTCCTGAGAAACAGATCCAGCTTTATGAGGTTAAACTAATTTAGTGTTTGAGCTCAGTATCTGTTTACTACAGCTCTGGTGCAGGGAATGAAGTTTATTTTTCTCCATCAGTTCCCGGATGGTTTGATTTTATTCAGACTCTTCGAAGATCCAAATTTAGTCATGTAAACTGAGATAAGTCCAAGTCTGTATAAAATAAGACAGAATTGTTGATGATAAACTTGTTTTTGTCCTCAGAAATGCCTGATCCTTCTCCTCACATCTTCACCAGACCAGGTTGCCCTCCACAGACCTGATCATGCACACAAACCTCCAGCACCTCTGGTTCCACGCGACCACCAGACCGGAGCACCGTCGTTTATATTCTGATAGAAGCGCAGGGTCCTACCGTTAGACCGACGGACGATGTTCTCCAGAAACGTGTTCTGGGGGGCTACGAGACCCCGTCGTCCTGACGCCATCCTGCTATTCCCCGGTACAGCTGCTGCTCACATATATCAGGAGGTAAGATGCTCGTGATTCCTCCAGGTTCGTCTGATGCCTGCGGCGCGAGCTCCACTGCGCCAATCAGAATGCTTCACTGGCACTGAGGCGAGAAGCGTGTGAGACACGAATACGGCTCGTGTTTACTGATGACGTCACCAAATTTGTTGTAATTAAACGATGAGTCTCTCTATCTATCTATCTGCAATTGTTATGTCTATCTGTCTGTCTTGCCTAAATTATGTGATGTCTATTTTCAAATTACAATTGTGTTTTACCCAAACGGGACGCCGGACGCGTCATTTGGAATCGTAGGATGTCCAAGGAAGAGCCCGCCTTTCTCGCCTCTGATTGGCTAGAAGGACTCTCTTACATTTGGCTAGTTCATTTAGCAGCAAGCTGTCTTCCCTCGCCAAGTGCAGACTGCCACCATCAGAACATCTTTTCGGGGGCGTTTTATGGGATTAGATTTGTGCCAATAAGATCAAGAAAACACTTTGAAGATCAAAACAAACACTAGGAAATTGAGATTAAAAAAATATTGACAAAAGAAATAAAATAATTTCAAAAGTAAAACTTCCTATCCAGGGGCGGATGTAGGACTGAAGAAGATCCGGGGCTTCACACACGTGCACACGCGCACACACACACGTAACACGCACTAGTCTTTTTCATAAAACATTCGGGGCTTGAGCCCAAGTAGCCGGGCCTAATGCCGCCCCTGTTCCTATCTGAATCAACTTCTTAAAATTAGAAAATACCAGTGTGGACTTGAGTCCCATGACTTGGACTTGAGTCAGACTTGTGTCATTATTTTAATGACTTATAACTTGACTTGATAAAATCTACAAAGACTTACAACTTGACTCGGACTTGAACACCTGTGACTATTGACTTGAATCAACTGCATCTGTTGACTTGATGATTACTTGAGCATATCTGATATTTTAGCACAAAAGTGACACGACGTCGTGGACCAAAATCATAATTCCTTCTTGGTTCTGGGTTTGATCTTGTACTGCTAAATGCAGCAGCACTTTGTTTATAATCAGCTTCAGTTGCACTTTCTGCTTGTTAGAGCAAATAAATGAAACTTTTAGAAGCTTTATTTCTGGAATTTATTTATTATCATTGTCATTAAATTGAAGTTGGACAGGTGACTTGGTTATGACTTGAAAATTCTAAGTTAAGTACTTGGACTTGACTTAGACTTCCACATCATTGACTTTTGACTCGACTTGGACTTTGTTGTCTTTGACTTGGACTTGACTGGAAAGACTTGTGACTTACTTGTGACTTGCAAAGCAGTGACTTGGTCATACCTCTCACTAACAGATTTGCAATTACACTACCTGGCTTTCTCCTTTGCAATCCCTGAGTTTTTGTTTGGAATTCTGACACAACCCTCTCCCATAGAACAGTGGTTTCTCTTGAGTGACAGTTCAGTGACCCAAAAGTGATGTAGCCTCCAAGATTTTTTTTCCCAGCTAGGTTTAACCACGTGTATTTTGAGCCCCAAACACATAATTTCTGCTGTGTGTAGTGTCTACTGGGGATCTAAAGTGAGTATTGATAACATATGTCAGGGGTCCTCAGTTATAATGGTCCGAGGGCCACTCACAAAAAAGACCAGAAGCAGGAGAGCCGAACTGGGGGGTGGGGGGTGGGGGGTGGGGGGGGGTGTCTGCTGCCACTGTTTGGATTGCTGGCTGTAATGCACATAACACACAAGCTTGCAATATAAAGGAGGACAACACCTGTCCCCCTCCAGCTTGGCTGTGTGACTGCAATAACCTGTCCTGTGGGACCATCACCATGTAACCCTCATTTCCATGCTCTGGAGGAGCAGATAGGAAGCAAGATCTCCTGTAACTTAAAATGAACCAAAGCTTTCTCCCAGTTTCTCTTTTTAACATCAGTTTATCATCATGAAACAAAAGAATAAAGTGGAACAAAAACTTGTATCTTCTATTTCTCTCTGCTCTAAACTTCTCCGTATCCCTAAATAAAAGAGACAGATGATTATGCTTTAGCCGCCGTCACTGACCCCGCCCCCTCCCCAAAAGCGGACCTCCCGACATCACAACACTCGGTCTGACTGAGCGCTTCGATCAGAAATAATAATGAAATTATGAAAATAATAATGCGTGTTTGGAGCACTGGGTTAAAATCTAAAACTATATATATATGTAAATGTAGTATAGACATTATTATTTTAAAGGAAGTGTTATTGTGGAAATACTCTAAATGTATTTGAAGATGACATTTCAGTGATTAATTAGAGAAATTAGGTCGCATTTGTAAATATTATGTAGATTACATTACAAAAATTACAAAAATGCACATCTTGTACCTGCAGTATCAAATTTGATACAGCCATTTTACCATGGTTTTGTTGGAATATAAAGAACGAGTTACTTAATAAAAATGCACTCTTTCTATAGAAAAACTGCTAATGTTGAAAACTTAGACTTTTGATACTCTTCCTACCATAACTTCAAAAAAATTTGTAATGATTTACCTGAGAAACGGTGAGTGGATCATTTACTGGGAGCTGCCATGTTGGGAATAATCAAAACTACACTTTAACCGCCCGTAGAGCCATAATAATCCAGTAGGGGGTAGAGTACACGTATCAGATTATATACAACAGGGTTTTAAGGCAAATATTAATCATGTTGATGAGCTAGAGGTCTCAGAAACTCAATTGTGATACAAATGGCATTTTAAGGTTTTTCATGGTAATTAATTACTTTTATAATCTTGTAACTCGGTAAGTAACTGAGTTACTTTTTTGGCTAAGTAAAGCAGTAACTATAACTAATTACTTTTTAAAAGTAACGTTCCCAACACTGGTTCCACCTGAGGCCAAACTGTTGAGCTAGTGTTGTTTTGCTTTTAAGTAGCACAATTGTTTTGTGTTATGAATTCAACACTAGTATCCACAGTCTTATTTATAACACTATTATTTTTTAGATTTGTTTTAATGTTTTATTTTGTTAAAATCAGTTTTAATTCTTTTAAAAACATCATTTTAATTTAAAAAAAGGCGTTTGTGGCGGAAGGATCCACATAGCGAGGGTTCACAGTAGCACGAGTTGCACTGGCACTTGAAAGGCAATCCTTCCGCCACGTTGGGTAGACCCAGCTCATATAGGAGTTTTAAACCTTTGAACGTTCTTCTGGGCAAATAGTAATCCCGTTTCAGGACATGTGGCTCGTGGAACACATTGATGTTGTAATTCATGCTGAATTATAATTTGAGTTGAGGGAACAAACACGATGGGGGAGGACTCAGAAATGCACCACAGCGACACGCTCGGAGCTGCGGCTAGTGCGCGACGAGCCGCAGAAAACGTCCCCTTCTCTCGCTGACATTTTCTACCGCGACGTAGCACCTGAAAACTTGGATAAACCGCAGAGATGCCCGGAATGATGGATAAAGGCTCGGAGTATTTAGGAAAAGGCCGCTCGAACGGCACCAAGAGTCCGTCTAACGCGTCTAACGGGCATTTCTCCGACGAGAGCGGCAGCGACGACGAACACGGTAGGAGCCTCGAACAACCTCGCTTCTCTTCAATTAAGACTTTTAATTTTTGACTAAACGTGTCCACATTTTCTACGTGTTTTCCAGATGTTGGAATGCGAGTCGGAGCCGATTACCAGGCGATTATTCCAGAATATGAGCCGGGTGAGCGTTTTCCTGGTTTACTGGAGTGGCGGACGGTGGTAGCCTCGAACAGTGTTCTGAACCCATAACCTTAGGTGTCGCTGCGTCTGTGTCTGCTTCCCAAGTGTTGTGAGAGAGTTAGTTTAGAGTTTACACGAACTTGGGTTGTAAGAGTTTTGTATGTACAGTAGTTATCACTGAAACTGAGTGCAGGAACAACGTAAGCCGAGGCTCCCTCAGGAACAACTTGTGACTTAACTTAATGCATCAAAATGAGTCATAAATACAAAAGACGTTTTTAAAAAGCCAGATTTGATTTATTATTACGTTTCTCTCTAAATAATACATAATTAATTATCACAATAATTATGCAAAATGTTTTTAAGTTTAGCTATCTTAAAGGGATTGGCCAGACTGCATTAAAATTGTAGAAATTCAGTTTAACTACACTTTACCATCTTTATAGATATGAACTGGGTTCGGTTTTTCATTTTGTTAAAGAATTTTGTCATAAATCATTACAGAAACCAAAATTCGCTCCTCCAACATGTAAAACAAGGTAGCTGCTGTTGCTAGTATTGTGAATAACCATATTTTGTTTACTGTCATGTTCTTAATTATTGCAGAAAATTGCGTTTACAGCTGCAGCAAAAGGTCTGAGCCTTATGTCAGTGCTCTACACACATTTTTGATTATCATCGGTCTGATCTAAAATAATAACCTACATCTATAAATCCATCTGGAACTGCACCGCTCCATCTGGACTCCAGAGTCCTGTTAGCATGACTGCAGCAACACTGCTAGCTGTGTTTTCAATTCAATTCAAGTTTACTTATATAGCGCCAAATCACGACAAGAGTCGTCTCAAGGCACTTCACATAATAAACATTCCAATTCAGGTCAGTTCATTAAGCCAATCAGAAATAATGTTTCCTATATAAGGAACCCAGCAAATTGCATCAAGTCAGTGACTAGTGTCAGTGACTATACAGCAGTCCTCGTACCAAGCAAGCATAAAGCGACAGTGGAGAGGAAAACTCCCTTTTAACAGGAAGACACCTCCAGAGAATCCCGGCTCAGTATAAGCAGCCATCCTCCACGACTCACTGGGGATCGAGAAGACAGAGCAGACACACACACACACACACACGGACAAGTAATGTGTCTAGAGTTATATTGTGATGTCTTAGTAAATATTCTATTTGGTGAGAGATAAACTTTATTGTATTTATCCTAGTGGATCTGTAGTTAAATGGATAAACTAGTAGTAGCACATCCAACGTCAAGGAAAGCAAGAAGTTATTATCAGGAGAGGGAGAATGTTTTAGTGGTTAGCAACAGTGTGCTAGTCGATGGCCCCCTCCATGAGGCCACCACAGCTCAGCAGAACATTGTAGCTTCTTCTGGGGAGAAAAACACTTGGAGAGAAAATAAAGTTAACAGCTGAAATAGCAGGAAATAATACAGTTAAAGAGCAGATTGTAGAAGAAAGCAGTAGAGCCGTTAGTGTTAGCTCCGGTAAGGAAAATACAAGTCATTTGGGAAATCTACGACACACATGCAGATATAATCTAAAAGATCATCCCCATATTTTAGCAATGCTGGGAATCGTAGAACTTTTGTGCTGTCTTGGATTGCAAACGAGTCAAACTAATGTTACTCCTAATCGGTTAAGGGTGGGAATTGATACATTTTTATCAATATCAATTGCATTGTAGATTCTATCAATCCAATTCCTTATCAATTCATTCAGTTCATCTCCAAGATCTGGAAAAGGTGGAAAAGGCTGTGGCTAAACAACTCACATCTGCTCTTGATGAACTTGCTTCCAGTCAGGTTTTCGTAGCGCTCATTCTACTGAAACCGCTCTTCTTAGGGTCTCTTAACGACCTTCTGACTCAGTGATGCAGGAGACTGTTCTGTTCTGGTCCTGCTGGACCTGACTGCAGCTTTTGACGAGCAGACAGCTGCTCGGGGGAGAAATCAGTGTGTGTGGCACAAGATTATGAGGACACACACAGCAAGTTAATAAAATAATGTGGTTCAGAGTCTCCAAAAGCAACACAGCTCATGTCCGCCTTTGTTTACCTTATAATGGAGGACACCGCAGACTTTTCCGTGCGTATTAAACCCCGCCCACAAGCTCGGGAATTTCCGCATTCCTGAGAAGTCCCTCGGAATTATATGGGAACACTACACCGCCCGTTCAAGACCAAACTCAAGCCATCCAGCCCCACCAAACCCCAACCGTGCTGACACTAATGTGTAAGTGCCATTATCTGCTTCCTCTTCAGCACATCCTGAGCTCCTTCAAAGGAATCTCCTACCATCTTTATGCAGATGACATCCAACTGTACATCTCCTTTAAGCCCCATGAGATGTCTAAGCTGCAGCTGTTACACACCTGCTTAGACTCTATCAAAACCTGGATGGTGGGAGCTTTCTTCAGCTGAATGAAGATAAGACTGAGATCCTCATCTGTGCCCCAGACAAGCTGGTTCCCAAAGTCAGAGACTCTCTTGGTCAGCTTGCTTCTCACACCAAACCTTCTGTCAGGAATCTTGGCGTGACCTTTGACCCAGCTCTCGCTCTGGATTCTCATGTCAGTTCTCTTGTTCGCTCTTCCTTCTTCCATCTCAGGAACATTGCAAAGCTGAGTCCCATTCTGTCCCGATCTGAACTTGAGGGTGGGGGTGGGAGGTTGCACACATTCTGCACATGGTCTGCTGCTGTTTCTCACCAGTATCAGCTGATGGACGGATCTATTTTCGTTGCGCTGTTTGTGTCAGCGGACACGGTCAGGGAGGGGGGAGGGGTAGGGCGTGACGCTTAGCCTGGCAGGCTGCCAGGCTTATAAAGCGCTAGGGGAAACCCTGTACCTGTGTTGGTTGGAAATATTTTCCCAAATGTTCTCTTTTTATGCTCCCTGTGAAGGCAGAGTCATCCTGTCCAGTGCAGTGTTGCTGTAGCTTTTGTAGAGTGGATAAAATCTCACCACAGGTCAGACCTTTGTCACTGGAGTCAGCTACTGTGGAAGTGTATACGTAAGCTAAATGACGCTAACATGATAGGCAGTGTTAGTCGATTAGTTACCTGCGGTATTAGCAGGAGAGGACGTGCGAACGTTGCTGCTGCTGCGTTGAAATTCACTAGTCTGGAGCGAGTGAAAATACATCAATAACTTAAAGTTATCACGTATTTTGTGCCCACGGGCTTTTGTATATTCGGAATGCTTCCTCGCTTGAAGAAATATGTACTTTGCAAATATTGCAAGTTATCCTGTTGTCATCATGCTTTCTTGTAAAAGTATAACCAAACTTTTGAGCATTTGTGCCACTTAGACACTGTTTCCTGCTTCCATAAGCTACACAGCGTGTGCGGTGGCGTCATTCGCACTGAATGGAAATAAGTGGAGTCATTTGCAAAAGTAGCTAACATTTCCTAGGAATTTGAAACAATGGGAACCAGTTCTCAACAAGAATCGAATTTCGATTCCCAATCCTATCAGTTAAATATTTTTTGGAGTTATCAACATAAACACGCAGTGGTAAAACCGGCAGCACGTTATTTTATTTATCCGTAGATCACTGAATTATGTTCAGACAGATAATGGAGCTAAGACCAGCTGAGAACTCGTCAGCTTAGAGCTCCCAGTGGGAGCACTACGAGCACAGAAATGAAAAATTTTACAAAAGTAAACAAACTGCACTGATTTTGGTTCTGAAGGTGAAGAGATTCCTCCCCAGTGTCCAAATTGGGTCGCAGGTCTTCTGAGTCAAACGGTCCAAAACATGTCTATCCAGCTAGCGGGGTCAGAGTTCGGCTGAACTTCTCCGGTAATCCATTATTCGTTCTCATCGCTGTATCCCAGAGAAAAAAGCAAATTCAAACAAACAAACACAGAAGCTTCAGAAGCTACATCTGACTGATGACACATTGTTCTCATAACGCTAACGCAGAAACACCGGAGTCGGGGTTTGTTTGCTTTAGCTGTTTCGGCAGACCTGCTTGTGAAACGTCACCAGCTGCTCAGCGCTTAGACCGGAAGCTGTTTCCTGTATTTGTCAAAAACATCAGATTTTCTTACAATTCCAGCCGTGAAAATCCAAAAACCTTTTTCCTCTGAGGTTTTATTACTGCTTCACACATGCCATTCAAAGGAATTTTGCCTCTGGCCAATATCTTTAAAATCTGGTTTGTCTGTTTTTAATGGAAAAAATATAATACGTTTGACCCTTGCAAGTGATGCAAAATTATAATTGAAAATCAGTACAGTAAGAAAATCTATTGAACCAAAAACAGGTGGAAGTGAGTGCATCTGTGGGAAATATATATATATATATATATATATATATATATATTACAGATGCTCTTCAGGATCTAAATCATAGAATGTGGATGAGGAAGAAAATTAGCTGAAAAACAATGAATAGATAATCCGAGGCGCTCTGAGAAGTGTTTTTATTAGAGCAAGAAAATGTTGATGGTGGCGTTAGCTTTTTCTTCTTCACGCCCTAAAGAAGGTCGTACGCGACTGAAATGCGTCAGCTTTTTCCTGCTCTAATAACACTTCTCAGAATGCCTCGAATCTATTTTCCTTCCACATCCAATAAGAAAATGTATAGTTTTATAGCTGCTACTTAAATTAGAGTTGTGTGAGTGTATAAATGTGTGATGCCTTTTTAAAATGGTGCTGTTTTTTATTTTTATTTTTTAATAATTCCTACATTCAGGTTCCACCAAGTACACAGAGAAAGACAGTGGAGGGATGCTAGTGTGGTCTCCACATCACACAATTGTTGACTCAAAACGTAAGTCCAGCTTCTCTGGCCCAGCTCTTGTTCGACCCAAATCATTACATCATAACATCACATGTTCTAACAGTGAGTTGTTCCCTCCACAGTGGATGAGTACATTGCCATTGCCAAGGAGAAACATGGATACAATGTGGAACAGGTGGGTCTATCTGAACCAATCAGAGGTGGTTCTTGTGGTTTTGTGTAGAGAAGAAGCTCAGTTTCCTCATTGCTCCTCTTGGAGTTGTTGCATTTTGCTTTTAGATTTCGTTTTTAGCTATAGCTCCCAAATCCCAGCAGGCTTATTTGCCTTTTATCAAACATGTGCAAAGCTTTAAATGCATAGTAATCAGAACCTGACCGATAGGGTTGGGTGTCGTTTGATTTTGAACGATTCTGATTCCAATTCCTCATTTCGATTCCGGTTCCTACCGATTCAGATTCTTTGAAGACATGACATGCTTTACATGAGCCAGCTAACCACAGGTCCTACTTGATGAAATAATCTTAACTTCAACATGAATTTTAATTCTATGAACAACAACATCACCTTCATTTAGATAAAAACATGTTTTGGACTTGCAGAACAATCAGTGTGTTTGTTTCTGACCACAACCAAAGTCTGGAAGAAACCTCTGGGATGAGAGGCTAAATGTCTCCAACATATCCAGAAACGTTCAGCTGTTTTCAGCTAAAACTCTCAGGATGATCATGTCCAGGATGACTGAGAACTACACCTCCATGCTGCAGCAGCATTCAGTCAGAACAGGAACTTAAATGTAGCTGCTGTCAATCAATCAATCAATCAAAGCTTTATTTATATAGCGCCTTCCGCAACCCTGTCAGGAAGCCCAAAGCGCTGAAGCGCTGTCAGTAACAATCTAACAGGTTTAAACATTAAAACTCAACAGAAATAGTTCAGAAAGGAAATTTCACAGCATTGTGTATGCTTTATTATAATTATTTATTGTGGCAGAAGCTGGTGTGGTCCACTGCTCTAGCATGATGACTTCAATTATTCTACAGGTTATTGTTCAGCCTGCTCACACACACACACACACGTGTTGGTGAGCGGCTGCGTCTGACTGCTGACGCTCCGTGTGTGTTTTTATTTCTGCAGTGAGACAAACTCACACCGTCCAGAGTTTGTTCTTTAAAGCTTCTATTAAATCCACCGTGTTGACGTATTTTAACAAGTTTCCTCTACGCTGCACGAGTTAAAGTTTACGGAGTAAAAGTTCAGCAGACACGTTTGTTTATATCTGGGTGGGGGGACTCGTGCTGCACACGGGCAGCTGGTGTGATCAGCTCTGAAAAGCGTTGATCACAATTTGCAGATCATGTTTATTTTTCACGATGATCGGCCACGGATTCCTCTTCCGGTCGGCATTCTAGGAATCGAAATAAAAAACTTTGAACAATTCCGGGGAAAGCTAACAGTTGGAAACGGCACCAATTGATGCTCGATGCCCAACCCTACTGACCGATCACCGATGGGTCACTCCTCAGGATCCACTCATTACCAGTGTTCACAAACTCGCTATGTCACAGCTAGGGCTGCAGCTATCGAATATTTTATCGATAATTGAGTACTTTAATAAATTACCCTTTTGTGTTTGTAAACCATTATATCAAATAGCATGTTATAAAATATGAAAGACCTCTTAAAATGAGGAAGCTATTGCCAGTTATTCTTCGCTTTATTCAAAATTAGTTTTCTAAACTTCAGCACTTCAACTTTACTTCACAGTAAACAAATGCCTGTGCAAAACATAAGTATACAACCGGAGCCGATTTTCCCCTCGTGGGAGAATCTACTAGGTAGTGATCAGGTGGAGCTGGACTCGGCTTTATAAACAAGTAGCGCTGCAAGCGGCTGCGGCCCACACAGCACCAGAACCGCTCACGGTGCGTGCGCAAACATGGCTCGCCAGCTATTTCCCTATTAACACACGTCCGTTTTAATTTCTACACTTTTTCTCACACACTAACAAGGATTGTCGAGAAAGCATGTTTGCCGTGGTTATGTCAAATTACACTGATCACAAAACATTTACTTTCTTTCGTTTTCCTCCGCCACTCATAAATACCCGTGTCCTCCTGCAGCAACCCCGAGGGACAACAGACATCAATAACAACACAATAAAAGTCTGACGTGTTGTGTAAAAACGGCCTTTTTTAGCACATTTTTAGGTCCGACGTGTTGCTACCAGACACGCCGTGTCTGCAGAATATATAGCGGACCTCCGAGTCCGCTTGCAGAATGGACATTTACATGTGGATGTTTCCTGGTCAGGTGCTGCAGCACCGAGGATGTGGTGTTGTGGTAGGCTAAATCCATTTTACAGTATTTACACTGGACTAGGATTTCCGCCTTACGAAGTGAAAAATGGTCCCACACCTTTGACATTTTCTGTCTTTTTCGCACTCCACCGGGGTCCACGTTGTCCGCCATGGCTTAAGAGAAAGTTAAGTTACATTCGCTACTCGCGTGTGCATTCAGTGCAGTGTGTGTAGGTGCGTCACTTATTTCGGTCCGGGTGAAACATGACCCCGGGCGATTGCAAAGCCATGAATTAAACGAAGCCTCGAGGCAGAGAATTTGACTCGAGGATTTTTTGTACTCAAATTATTCGAGGTACTCGAGGAATCGTTTCAGCCCTAGTCGCAGCTGTACTGGCGGACCCGTAAAAATACCCAACACAGAGTGCACGTATTAAGCTAGTTTATTTAAAGGGGAAGGGAATGGAGGCGGGAGCAGGCAAACTGCTTAGTCAGGAGATCAGAGAGCCAACTACAAGCTAGTTTATATTATAGGATTGAATCCCTGCACACATTTTAAATTATTTTCAAAACTCATTTTTAACGATTATATCACAATTGGCCATTTTAAAGAATTAAAAGCAACAAGTCACATAAACCAGTCCAGGGTCAAAGCCTATTTTAATAAAGTCTGTGTAGGGAAGCAAAAACAAGAGAAATGTGATCTCTCTTTTTAATTATCATCAGAACTCTAGTTGCAGCATTTCATGTGTTAATGTGTGTGTGTGTTTGTGTACACAGGCCCTTGGTATGCTCTTCTGGCACAAACACAACATAGAGAAGTCCCTGGCTGACCTTCCAAATTTCACACCATTCCCAGATGAATGGACTGTTGAAGACAAGGTGCTGTTTGAGCAGGCTTTCAGCTTCCATGGCAAGAGCTTCCACCGCATCCAGCAGATGGTGAGCAGCTAATGCAATAATTATCGGTTTGCATGTTATGTTAAAGTGTCAGGTTTTGTGAGTCAGGATAAACCTAACTAAAGTGAGTTGGACCACTTGTGTTGACTAGGACGATAGTGGTGTCACAGGCTGTACTAGAAGTTTTCTGAAACTGCTTTGGTGTAGTTAAATGCTTGAATTTATTAATTAGATTTGATTGACAGGTAGCATGAGTGTCCGAGCTAGTGCTAGCAGCTAGCTCCAGGGAAGACCTCAGCCTCTGCCTCACTTTTATTGGTGTTCAGCCATTTTGACGCTGAACTTTAGTTGTGTCTGTCCTCTGTGTTTGCGTTTGGATGTTGAACATAGAATTATTGGACAAAAATGGCAAGCTGTGGTATTGATTTCACTAAGAGGAGAATAAATCTTCCTTAGAGTTTTGCTGCAAGGAGGACAAAGCTGCATCCACTGCATGAATATAAAATGGTGTCGTCTGCATATAAATGTATATGAGAATTGTCAACAGCATGAACAATGTTATTAATATAGATTTTGAATAAGGTTGGGCCCAGTATTGACCCTTGAGGAACGCCCATAGATATAGGTCTCTACCTTTCCTCCTCTGAGCAGATTGTAACCTTCAGTTCTCACGTTTTGTGTAAGGCCTAAGAAATAACTCTCTCCCCCACCACCACCACTTTGCAGAGTTTGCACTCTACAAGCCTTTCTTTGATTTTGTTCCCAAACTTTTGAGCTACATTGCCAACTCGCCATGTTTTCTTATACACCCCTGCAGGATAGTCATCAGAAATTCAAACCCAAAAGGCGATGCTTTAAGGTTGGTTTATGCTTGACGAGGCACGGCTCCGCACGGAAAAGTTGCGTCATTTTGCGTCATTTTAACAACCACGCCCCTCCACCGCGCCTCCGCACGGCCCAGAATTTCCGCAACGCGCACCTCGGAAAATTTCTAACCACGCGGACGCGGAAAAACATGGCGGACCGGCAAGAGGTTCGTAAATACAGACATTTGTATGATTCAGCTCTCAGAGATCACCGTGATCAACAAGTTGTTAATAATTCTTGGAGTGAAATAGCTCACACTGTCGGAAAAGACGAGAACGCTGTTAAAAATGCTGAAATGCCATGTTGTAAACAGTAATTTCTACTTCTACTATGGTGTAGTGTTGGATGCTTGCCATAGAGCTCCATGCTGCCCCGTTCAGTTTGGGAGAATATTGGCTCACCGCAGAGACGAGCCGCACGAACCATAAACGCTGCGAGTTGTGAAGCGCGTTCCATCCGCGAGCCGCATCACCGCGCGGAAAGTGAATGCGTCAAGCATAAACCAAGCTTTAGTGTGAGCCTTGTGATCCAGCAGACAGAACAAAGTGAGCCAACAACAGCGCAGTCACATCTAAACGGTAAAACCGAGAATGACATAGGAGTTGTTTTATTGCGCTGGCATGTAGCTAATGTCCCGCTGATCTCCGCCCGTGGAGAATGAGCTGGTCTGGATGGCCAGGGCTACCGGTCGCAGTGGTCTGGCCCTGCTTGTAGTTTAACAGTCCCAGTCCATATTAGATCTCACATTCGGTCTAGAGACGAGTCCGCGGGCGGCAACACCCCTCCACCCCCACCGCTCTCCCAATGGGGAGGGCCGACTGAGGGCCAACGATTCGTAAAAATGCCAAGGCCGAATTTTGGTCCTATTTTCCCTGCTATAAATGAACTGAATTGAATTAAAGTGAAGTAATTGTGTGTTTCAACTGTCTGTCACAAATATACTCACTGGTGAATTTATTTGGTACACCTTGCCAGTACCGGGTTGGACCCCCTTTTGTCTTCAGAACTGCCATGACACAGATCCAACAAGGTACTGGAAACATTCCTCAGAGATAGGGTTGTCACGGTAACCGGTATAGCGGTAAACCCCGGTAAAAAAGTTGACAATAAAAATAACCGTCCAGTTTTTAAAAAACTATATTATCTCGGTGGGTTTACCGTGGCCGCGGTTTCGGCGCGATGACCCTTACCAGCCACCGTCGCTTCAGCTGAAGTTCCCGCTGCGCGCACACGCACTTTTTAATTTGCAACGGCACCAAAACTTTGAAGCTGAAATAATGGCCGAAGGAGGCGACGGCAGCGCCCAGGACATCCATCAGCCCTCAAAGAAGACTAAATCGGAAGTATGGGCATATTTGGGATTTCTGAAAAATGCTGAGGGACAGTTAATAGAAGACGGCTATCCCGTTTGCAGAACGTGCAGGAAACAAGTGTCTGCAGAAGGCAGCAACACTTCAAATCTCATGGCACATCTGCGTGACGATCACCCACGTCTCTACAGCCAGTGCAAGGTAAGTTAACATTAGCATTTTAGCTGAAATGCATGACGTGAGGACTTTTGGTTGAGGGAGAATGCAACGAGTCACTACATACTGCAGCCGCAGCGCCCTCTGCCAGCATTTAAACCGTGTCACGGACACCCTGTTGCTGGATGAAGCATCTTATTTGTTGATGATGAAGAGAAATATACAATTAGTTCCTTGTCATGGATTTGTTTACTTATTCAATGCCATTTATACTTGAACATTTGGATTTGATTACATAGTGTAGTAGTTATTTTAGTCATTTGTTTAAAGTGGATATTTATTTTAAATACATATTTTTTAAGGTTGACTTGTACAGTGCTCAAGTCAAGTGTGGACTGGAGTTTTAGATTTTCATTTTGATAATGAAGAAAACAAGTATATGAGAAAACAAGTGGTGTTTCTTTGATTTGTTTACATATTGTTTATGTTTTGAATGTTTGGATTTGTATCATTTAAACCTGCACTGACTACTGTAACAAGTTCCAGAAAAATAAGCTATTTGTTCCTTTACTTGTGAAAAGTTGCACTTTTGCTAAGGCTTGTGTTATTTTAGGTTTAATAAACACTGTTAAACCTTTTCAGAACTATTTCAGTTTGTGTAGAACAGGACTATCAATGCTTTCTGAACATATGCAACACCGTTTAAAAAATACCGCGATAATACCGAAAACCGTGATAATTTTGGTCACAATAACCGTGAGGTTAAATTTTCATACTGTGACAACCCTACTCAGAGATCTTGATCCATATTGACATAACAGCATCACGCAGTTGCTGCAGATTTGTTGGCCGCACATGACATGAATCTCCTGTTCTACCACATCTCAAAAGCTAGTGCGCACCCCTCACAAGCAATCCAAATAAGTATTAACTCAACGTTACATGCTGGAAGGTACTTGTAGATGTTGCTTGAGCACAAAGCAAGAAAGATAAGTGATGTTTAAGAAGTTAATTACTGGAAAAGCTTACACATGTCGATGGAACAATTACTTCCGGTTTACTGATCTTGCTTCCGGTTTCACCATCATTCACTGGCATGGTGTTACTTTGGTTACAGAGTAAATTCAAACAGAGCTATTGAAATGATGTACAAAACCTGTTTTAAAGACATAACAATGGTGGTTCTTTACTCCTGAAAAAAGTATTTTATGTTAGCTGAACTTACAGCCATTTTTCTTTTGCTCTTCTCCGTTGGATATGCGCATTTGCAGTCCATGGCGTATTTTCACACAAAAATAATAAGAAAATAAGTGCCTTCTTGGCAGAATGTGTCTTTAAAATTCACGGAAATCCTTGGCACATAACAAACGGGGTTAGAAAATAGCCCGAACAGCCCCATTTACTTGAAATAATTTTTTCATTCTTCTAGGGACCCATGGTCTGGACGTAGATGGGCGTGACTTAGGCTTCCTATAGAATTTTTTTTGATCAGCTGGTCTTTCAATAAACATGGAATGAGAGGATGTGGTACATCAATGGGTTAAAAATTATTTTAGAGTATGGAAAACAATTTGTTCAAATAAACAACACTAAATCAGAACTGCAAGACATTGATTATGGTGTGCCACAAGGGTCGGTCCTTGGACCTAACCTGTTCATATTAATAATTAATGAACTTGTAACTGTATCTAAGCTACTTGGTACTGTTTGATTTGCTGATGATACAACATTGTTTAATTCTGGGTCAGATATTAAGTAACTTGAGTGATAATAATGAACTGATATAAATTCATCATTAGTGTAGCGTAGGAGAAGGCCGTGTAATGCAAAGGTTATGACATTTGTCAACCTGTCTCACCAGTAGGCAGTAGGCAAAGGTCGTCAGAGCCGGTTTAATTTGCCTGGACTATTGTGTATTTGGTATAAACTGTGTCATGTGCTGTGTCTTGTTGAAGTTGATAAATATGGCTAATCTGACTATTTTACAGCAAAGCTTCTAACTTTTACTCTGATTCTAAGTCATTTCTGTTTTGCCACCTACTGACACTAAATGATGATGATTGCTGTTTCTTTCAGTTGCCAGATAAATCCATCTCCAGTCTGGTGAAGTACTACTACTCCTGGAAAAAGACACGCTCCAGAACGAGTCTGATGGACAGACAGGCAAGGAAACTGGCAACCCGGAGCAACCAGGATGATAGGTAGAGTTCACAGACCGGCACAAAGTCACTAGACGGTTGTGGGTTCAACCCTGGGACGGAGCCTATGAGAACATTTTAAAATAGCATGTTTGTTTCAAAGTTTTACACAGTTTAGATAGTTTTCTGGTGTCACAGCTGCCTTAAAACCTTAGATAGGGTACTACGATGTCTGAGGTCAGTGAAAACTGTATTGGGAAATTGTTCACTAACAAACCAGCATGTTTGACATCAGATTTCCTTTTCTCATTCTTCTGTGTGTGTTGGTGGCTGCTTGATGTTGAACAAATTTCCTCTGGTGTAACTCAACTGGTTGCCATAGTGATGAGGAGATGGAGGAAGCCAATCCTATTGAAGCAAATGACAGCGATTATGATCCAAACAAAGAGGCCAAGAAAGAGGTGAGGTCAGATGTGTTTGTTAAAGATGCTCCGATCATGTTTTTTGCTACCAATCACCGATACAGATTTGCTTATCATTTATTTTTTCTTACACCAAGTACCGCAGCAATTTCCTAATGTTGTGAACCCTTCTGATTCTGATCAATTGGCCATAAACTTTCTATGAAGTTATAAGTACTACAGACTACATGATCTGGGAATAGATGAACTAACATTACCTGAAATGCCCTGTATTATCATCAGGGAGTTTACTTAAACACTCTGTATTGACTTTGAGACAAGAAAAGAGAGAGTTGGGATCGTTTAAGAATCTTTAATTTCTATAATTATAAATTCTTACAATCTACCAGGACTATCTCAATGATGGATGCATATGGATTTGGATGTTTCGTGTTGGTGTGTGTGTGTGTGTGTGTTGTTCAGAATCTCTAGGCTGACGTGTGTGGTTTTGGGTGTCTTTTCACCTGTATTAATTTAGACAAAAACATATCATTTTTAATAGGGATGTTCCATTCCGATATCAATATCGGAAGTAATTTTATATCAGCCCAAAAACACTATCGGATTATATTGGACTGCATCAAAAATGTACAATATAAGCAGTCTGTTCTAGGTTCACATATTTGCAACCCATGGTTAAAAAAATTGTCTTTTTTTTTTCATACTTACTGTTATTGGCTCTTGTTCTCCGATTGAGTAATATCACTTGATCAAGCCCTTCATACGTCCACATTGTGTCTGGAGATGATCTGAATTCAGGCAGTTTCTTCTTAAAAAATCAGTTAGCTTACCAACATGACATCCATGTTTTGTCTTAAGATGACGCTGCAGGTGTGCTGGCATCAAGCAATTCAATTCAACTTTATTATCAGACTTAAGGTGCACATTAAAAAAGAGACATAAAAACGATACAAAAGATTATAAAAGACATGCATACAAGTGTCTCCACATGGTAACGCACTGCACTAAAATGGGGATCAACCAACATCTGCACAAGTCTGTTCTTAGAGTTCTTCAATCGCAAGATAAACCTGTCCATCAAATTCCTCATTATGGCTTGGAAGGTCCTGACATGAGCATTACAAAATAAAAGACTTGCACTACAGGACCGAGGCTTCCCTAGCAGAGTCCTAAATGCATCGTTGTAGGCTACTTTAAGCTAACACAAGCTGGCTTTCCTATACTTACACCACAAAGGTGCAGTATACAAAGGTGTGCAGTAGGTTCTAAAAAGGTGGATTTTTATCTTATCAGAACATACCGGTATGTGGAATTTCCTGACCAAAATACTGGCTTGGGCATACAAAGTGCGACATTGCCGGTAAATGTCGTCGTCACAGAGCTGATCTGTGATGATGGGACCCAAATATTTTGCTTTGTCACTGACACTTATATTAAATTATATTAAAGAACAGAGGAACAGCGGTTTTGTGTGATACGCTTGTCAGCCACTAGATGGTGCCATTGGATAAGACACACTCCGGAAAGAAGCTTTAGACAGGATATGACATTCTGGACTTTTGCCTCAGACGGGCTCATGGATGGACAGTAACAAGTGCTATTCAGCCAAAGTTTCAAAGTTACAAGTCTCTCTGAGAGACAGGGTTTGGAAAGCACTCGCTTCAGTGAGCGTAATCTTCCAGCATGCGCTCTGGTTCTTCTGCTGCCTGTGACCGACGCGCTCCAAGCCTCACTGCACATCTTAAGCTCGTCCAACGTACGTGCACGCTGACAGCGACCTGCGCTGAGCACAGTGTCCAGTATAATGCTCCGATGTTCAGATGGGAATCGTTTCTTGATTGATTTAGCTACCTCCGCAATGTGCGTCATGTCCAAAATATCAGCACATCTACAGCCTTGAGGTTACTCCTTCCAAATACACAGTCAAATGGAAATAACTGTAACCCTGCCATTTAACAGTTTTGCCTTCTTGTGAAGATTGTTGCAAAGAGAAACAATTGGACTTGATTAACACCTGAGCCATGCAATTACAACATTCCAACGAGACAGAGCCTGGATTTGTATTCTGAACAGTTTAAACGTGTTTATAAAGGAGACACGTGTGACGTTTCAAAAAGCGGCTCCTGCTCAGGCCCCGTAGGCCCACCCACAACACTGTGGCTGCTGTGGCTCCCGGTGTTATCTTAACTGTGGGAAACGGGTCATAATGGCTCTTTGATGGGAAAAGATTGCCGACCCCTGGCCTAGTCAGGGTATCCGCGGGTCCTTAAAAAGTCTTAAAAAGTCTTAAATTAGCTTTTCCAAATTTAAGGCCTTAAAAATTACTAATAATCCTTAAATACAGTTTCCAAAGGTCTTAAATTACCAAAGACCCAATAAACAAGATTATTTTATTTCAATTTTCATGAATTTCTAGTTGGAGTTCAGCATTTTTTGTGTACGATGTTGCCGTAAGCGGAACCATACACATTCAGTTGGTTATGAAAGGGGGCTTTTTTAGATGAGCACATTAGCTGTTTAAGCTAGTGGGAGATTGCGCCATGGGGACGTGCAACTTTTGTGGTAACTGGATGGCTAATCCCACGTTCGCAGCGTGGTTAGCACCGGTTCCAGGCAATAGCTGGAAATTATAGTTTAAATTTAATTTTAAAAAATAGCTTAAATTTGGTCAAAGCGGCCTTAAAAAGGTCTTAAAAAGTCTTAAATTTGGCTCCCTTCAACCTGCAGATACCCTGCTAGTAGAAAAGCTGTTTTTGGATTAGCCTAGTAGAAGCTAATCATTAGCATTAGCAACTCCACCACATCGCAGAACTCTTCCTGGCTTGTGTTATTTGTGGAGGTGAAGCATCAACGTTGCAAAGTAAACAGAGTCAGTGGTAGAGTTGCTTTGCTGTTAGCCGATCAAAGGCAACTCCAAATCCTGCTGTCCGAAGCCCTCCTCTGATCCGGCAATCTTCTAGATCCTGAAACAGGCGCACAAGGGCATTTTGTACCCAGAGTACAACTTCCAAGGCATGAATTACTACTAAAGACTACTGCAAATGGATTAATTAAATGAGTGAACCACACCTTAACAATCAGCAGCTCACCTGGTCTCTTTGCTGTTCCTCCAGAACCAGGCTGAACCTCCTATACCGGGCTCCAAAGTGGCTTTGGGTCGGCGTGAGCACCAGACCCTGCAGCACCGGCACCACCAACGCTCCCGCTGCCGTCCACCCAAAGGCATGTACCTGACCCAGGAGGATGTGGTGGCTGTGTCTTGTAGTGCTTCTGCAGCAAACACACTCCTCCGTCAGCTGGACATGGAGCTGGTGTCCCTCAAGAGGCAGGTAGGTAATGCTGCTTTCACCAGGATGACACATCTCTTACAAGCTCAGTGGCGATGTCAGGCAGTATCTTGGGGTTGCTATAGCAACAGCAAGATTTGACCAAGCAACTGATTAGCAACCCAAAGTTTTGAAACTCCTGATATTGAACTTACTCAGAGTTTAAAAGTTATTTGATTACACTGATCTTTTATGATTTTTAAATCTGTTTCAAAACTAATGTGTTTATCTAGGCCTGGGCGGTATGGCAAAAATGTCATATCACGGTATTTTTTAAAATTACATCGGTTTTACGGTATTTGACGGTTTTTTTCTCAAGGCCGTGATTACCCAGATTATTTCAATAAGAAAATAATTACTGCACTAGATTGGCCTTAAATAGCCCGTTTTACCTTCATGTGCAGAATACCAGTTTTTCCATGTCCAGTCACAGGTAGGTAAATGCAGAAACCCCCTCAAAGTATCCTTGTCAAAAGAAAGCAGTTAAGAAAAAAACCACTAGAAAGATCAAATATTGCAGTAAAATAAACTATTTTTATTGAACACATTTTGCATATAATCAGTGCAGTTAACCATCTTTATGATTTCACATCCAACGTTATTGCGTTGGTTATCTCGACCCACCGCTTGCTTTTTTTTTTTAATTATAAACAGTCCCTTTAGCGAACGCGTCTTTAATGGACGTCTGACTCTGACCGCTACTAGCCGTTTTAGCCTCGGAGGTGGAGGGTGCCGATCGAAGCTTGAGACATTCTTGGTAATCCAAGACGTGTTTTCGGCTGAGGTGATGAAGCAAGTTGCTGGTGTTACCCCCACCGGCTACCACCGTTGCTCGACAGCATTTGCATATAATAGTTGTTTACTCCACGTCCGAACTTTTAAACCCGAAATGCCTCCAAACAACAGACGTGGCTCCTCTTTTTTGAAGAAGTTCTTCTGCGTTCGAAGTTTCGATGTCGCCGTGACAGCTCCCGCCAGCCGCCATTCTTGGTTTCACCACGCTGTGGTGTTTGTGTGTAGCAGTGAAACGAGTCCCCGCTGAAACACTTTCCTACTACGAACGTTCTGTACGTTGTTTAGGCCATTCACCGGTATAGCGGTATGTGAAAAACTCATATCATAACCAAAATAAACACCGGTTTTTGGTATGAACCGGTATACCGCCCAAGACTATGTTTATTTTAGGTGCTGCTTTTGTGATAAAAACACTGTAATATGATTTCTGTAAAACCTTTAAAATGTTTTTATTTAATTAGTAAAATAAAGAAAACTACTTCCCAGTGGAAGTGGTGAGACTGTAGAAGTGGAGTCCATTAAAAGCTGCTGTTAAACATCATACATGTGCTTCCTTTACTAGAAGCTCCAAAGCATCTCAGACATTAAGCACAAACCCAAAACACGATCTGTCATTCATGTGTGTTATTCTCTGTGGCTCCGGCTTTCTGATCACACGTTAATGGAATGGCAATGTTCACCGTCAAACTGGCTTTAGCGTGATGTTTCCACCTAAACTTCACCTAAATATCTTTCTTTACGTAGGTCCAGAATGCCAAACAAATGAACAGTGGGCTGAAACATATGCTGGAGTCTGGAATTGAAGAGTTCAGGTTGCCTGAGGTACAACAACACTCATATCAATTTATGTTGCTTTTTAAATGTACATTTTTATTCCTTTTGCCAAAGTCTTGAATGTAGCGAGACGGTGGGAGGGGAGTAGTTGGCAACTGTGAAAGTTGTTCCGCTTTTCCTTTCCTCTTGGAGAGTACAGACGCTTTGTTCTCCTCTCCCTCCCTGCTCTTCCCAAGGCTCTTTGTGTCCTGTCTGCCTCCGCCTCTGCATTTATTCTGGAAACTGGAAATTATTAAACATGGATTCGCTGTCGAAGAAGAAGCAAATACACCCTTTTTCTAAATAAAGGACGTAAAGACCTCTATCTGCTCATGACTGAAAGAAAAGCCCAAGTCTAAATACTCCAAAGTTGATGCCAAAGCCATTTCAAACGATTGCTGTTCAACAACGCCAACGCCATATTTGTAGTTTTTCTGTCACAGCTCTGGTGCTAACCCCACCCGGTAATCAAATCAGTCAATCAAAGCTTTATTTATAGAGCGCCTTCCGCAACCCTGTCAGGAAGCCCAAAGCGCTGGTAAGCGTCGGGCACTGTGATTGGCTAGACACAAAACTGGTCAGCCCAATAGTAGACCGGCTGAGGCTCCAATCGACCTTTGTCAGGCACAAAACCTGCATGTCAACCACACCTCTCTGCATTGACTTTGTGGAGTGAGGAGACCCATTCAATATGGCGCTACACTCTCCAGCGCCCAATAAGACACCTGCGTATTCATGTCTATGGACTTGGCATGTGATTTTGCACAGGCTCACACTCCGGTCTCAGCAGAAAATGTTTTCTTCTTTTTTTAGCTGCACTTGCCAGTACGATTTTTTCAATCCTTTATTGGTAAACATATACGGACTGACATGTTTTTTTTTAATTTTTTTTTTTTTTTTTGCTTTGTTTATTTAGCCAGTGTGAGTACATGTGAAGTGAGCAGAGTAAATCAACTGAAATGCTTCTTGGAAATTACCAAATTAAAAAAAAAATGTTTAGAGACACAAAATATTTGGGAGAAAATAATAAAACTAAACTATAAAAACATGAAATCTGCTTCAACTGGCTAAATAGATTACTGCAGACACTTGCGGGATTCGAGCCCACTCCAACACTTGGTAAAACTGAGATGGGAGGAAGATGCTTTTATCACTGGACTACCATAGCCTATACAGTAACCCAACTAGCCTAAGACGCTGTTCTAGGCACGTTTTGTCGGAGCGGACATGGGTGGAGTTTCATTGAAGCAAAGTGTTTTAGTCCTGGGTATAAATTCAGGCTGACAAATAACTCGTATTTATAACTCTTCTGAATGTTTGCTCTGTGTTTTGTTTCATAATCATCTTCTTTTTTCTTATTTAACACAGTGTAGTAGTTAGATTATTTTTTACCTTTGGCTGACATGTTTCGGCCGGAGTTTCCTCCTTCCTCAGAGCTGTTTGTGGTGTCACTTCCGTTTATGTGTGGGCAACATCGTCCTCTGCATCCTTCATGCTGATAACACAACATCACAAAGACACAACTTCAACACACCAACAAAACCATATCTGATGGTCAAGAAAAGAGTGGTGCACCCAAAAGACAAAATACCAGCAGGATAAAAATGCTGTGTCATCTACAAGACACCATGTAAACTCTGCAGTAATACATACATAGTAGTGTTGTCAAAAAAATCGATACCCAGATATAAATCGATACTAAAAGTGGTATCTAAATTAGATATTTCATCCCTGTGGTATCGATATTATGGACTATTATACACAGCCTTCTTCAAGTACACCGACACGCACGACAGCCAGATGCCGTAAAGCAGCCTCCGCCTCCCAGACAAACAGAAGAAGAAGACGCCGCATGGCTACATTGCAATTTCCCACGCGAGTTGTCTCCGATCCAAGTTTTGTCTGCCAAATAAATAAACAAAAACATAAACAGCCCAACTTAATTAGCATACCAAGTCCGACACGTAGTTGTATATTCACACTTATGTGCTTAAAGAAAACTCCCGTTTATTGCAACCCGGACTTAATTTCTAGCATGCAGTACGTTTGTTTACTCACGCTGACAACTTTGGTGCTACTTGGATTCCCCGGGGTATTTAGCTCCATCGCCGAATCGCCGTCAGCGTATATCCATATAACGGGTGTGGACGGGCACCCATGGTGCAGCCTCGAAATAAGACATTATCTGCACCAAAACATCTTCATGTCGAAAGGTTTTGTTAGGAATCATTAACGTGATTCCCCTGTTCGTTTGGAGTGAGTCTGGGATTTCTAGGTGTAAACAGACTAGCCGCGGCTAATCTAACCAGCGCTTTTAATGACGTCACTGCCGTGCGCCAATCTGTTTTTATTAAGATTACCGGTAGATGTACCTTTGTCCTACTGTGGAGAAATTAGTTTTCTCCCTTTATTGACCAACAGAGTTGTTCAAAAGTACAGAACAAAACATATGGCATTACATCTTATGACAAAAATGCACCTTAAACAGAGTTTAAGCAGCAAAACATCACTCTGCAAATAGTGTATATATAGTGAGACAATTCATGATTTAAAGTGTTAACTTTCGCCAGTTTTTGTATGCACGTTTAAAAAAATGCTGATACTTGAAAGGTTTAAGCACTTTACACACTTAATTCTTAACATTTAATTTTTGCAATATAAATTGAGGAATGTTATTTTTTGAATAAACTTGTTCAATAAATTGGTGATTTTAAATAGCATCGAAATCGAGCATCGAGTTTTTTCAAGTATCGAATCGAGTTTGAAATTTTAGTATCGTGACAACCCTAGTACATAGGAGAACCAGGACGCCAACTCAACACACTAAAAACAGAACGTCATAAAGAGTGTGAGAAAGAAGCAAAACAAAGGCACACAAGAGCAGCAAAACGGGAAGCGGAAAGTTCAACGAGAAAAAAAATCTGCAGTAACGGACCATTGCACAAGGGAAAATCTCATAATGGATTGGGACAGCACACGGATCATAACAGCAAAAATACAGAAGATGAATTAAGGAAGCGATAGAGATAAGGAGACGCAGGCACAACACCACGAACGGAGACGACGATGTTTACAGGTTGGATCACACGTGGGACTGTGTTACCAGCATGAAGGATGCAGACAGCAGAGGGCGACATCGTCCCCTGCTGTCTGCACATAAACGGACGTGACACAACAACAGCTAGCGGCTCCGGCCGAAACTCGTATTTAAGTTAAACGACATCTCAATAGTAACAGTAATATTATACTGTGCCTACCTTTGCTCTGAAAGGTTTTAAAAAACACATGATCTGGAACCTTCAAGGCATGGCGGCTGAACTTTTTACAGTGAATGTAAGTTTTAAAACTTGTTGTAAAAAGAGCCGGTTTTACTTTCTAAACTGTGTTCCTTGTAGTCTAACCAGAAGGTGAATGCCCGCTGGACAACAGATGAGCAGCTTCTGGCCGTTCAAGGTGAGCTTCATCTGCCTTCAGAACGGGTTTCTATAATCGACCTGAATTAAGATAAACTTCCCGACTTCCTACAACCCCACAATCCTTCTGAGCTTTCATATCGTTTACTTCCTCCTCTCTTCTTCTTCTATGTTCTCACCGTGTCTAGTTTCCTAGTTGTGCATCTAGTTCTCCTTTTACTTTTCTTATTTATGCTCCAACCAGCGCTCTGTGTTTGTCCAGGAATCAGGAAGTACGGCAAAGACTTTCAGGCCATTGCTGATGTCATCGGTAACAAGACGGTGGGCCAGGTGAAGAACTTTTTTGTAAACTACCGTCGGCGGTTCAACCTGGAGGAGGTGCTGCAGGAGTGGGAGGCAGAGCAAGGAACTCAAGCTCCAAACGGAGACAGCGCCACGTCTAGTGAAGAGGGAAAGCACAGCTCCACCACTCCGTCAGGAAAGAGCACAGATGAGGAGGACGAGGAGGCGAGACCTTTATCTTTCTAAGCTAACATTTAGGCCGACGTTTGTGTCGGGCCAGTGGCATATACTTGAGCACACATGACAACAACACCTGCATGCTCCATATTCTTGATTATCAGTTTCCAAAGTTGTTCATTTAGATATATTTTCCTCCTTCCAGGAAAGTAAGGAATGACCTCCAGGTTGGGAATCATTTGTTTGAGTAACTCAGCGCCCTTGCCTTCTCCTCTCTACAGGGTCAGGTCACCTCCTCAGGTGCATCACCCGCTGCTTCTTCTGCTCAGACTCCCATGACGTCCAACGCCTCCTCCCTTCACCAGCCCCCTCCCCTGTTGAGGCCCTCTCTACCTGCCACGCCCTCCCTCCACCGCCAGCCCCCACCCCTTCAACAGCAGGCTCGTTTCCTGCAGCCCCGCCCCACCCTGCAGCAACCCCCACCTCTCATCCGTCCTACCAACCCCATGCCCCCCCGCCTGAACCCCCGCCCTGCCCCCGTCGGCCTTGGTGGTAATCCTGGAGGCTCGGGCCTGAGCTCCGTTCCGCAGCCCCCCAGCCTGCCTGGCCACCAGTCGGACACAGCCTCATCTTCCTCCATCCACTGAGTAAAATCAGTTTGAGTCTGAGAACTGGACAAAAGTTGCTGGCGAGGATTTTTCATTCACACCATAGGGAAGATTTCACTTTTATTTCAAAATAAGAAAAATAACAAATCTTGAAAAAAAACATACAGGATACGAAATGTGTTATTTTTATTTATTTCTTTAAAAAAATTTTTTTTTTTTTTGCAGAACTCAGAATTAAAACCCAATTTTAAAGATTGTATTCCTTTTATGTCCCAAGAACTCGGAGAACACATCTTTCAGCCTTTGAGTGTTCGTAACAGGACATTTATAAATCAGGACTTTGTTGTTCCTAAAGCCCGTTTCAGATAGACATTCTGGAATGTGTGTGTGGACAATTCAATCCGGTTTTTAACCAGAACCGTGTTTTCAGACACACCACTTTTGTACCGGAACTTGTCCTTTCGGCTGCCTTCACACAGCAGGGAAAAGTTCCAAATGTCCGGGGGGGGGGGGGAATCGGGCGTATGTTAACAGGGTATCCACGGGTCCTTAAAAAGTCTTAAAAAGTCTTAAATTTACTTTTCCAAATTTAAGGCCTTGAAAATCCTTAAAAATGACAAATAACCCTTAAATCCAGTTTCCAAAGGTCTTAAATTACCAAAGACCCAATAAACTAGATTATTTTATTTCTATGACATTTTCGTGAATTTCAGCATTTTTTGTGTAGGATGCTGGCGTAAGCGGAACCGTACACATTCAGTTGGTTGTGAAAGGGGACTATTTTTAGATGAGCACGTTAGCTGGTTAAGCTAGTGGGAGCTTGCGCCATGGAGAAGTGCAAGTTTAATGGTAACTGGATGGCTAATCCCATGTTCGCGACGTGGTTAGCACCGGTTCCAGGCAATAGCTGGAAATTAAAGCTTAAAATTAATTTAAAAAATAGCTTAAATTTGGATCTGGATCGAAAGGAGTCAGTTGAGGTGGTTTGGGCATCTGGTCAGGATGCCTCCTGGACGCCTCCCTGGGGAGGTGTTTCGGGCATGTTCTGCCGGCAGGAGGCCCCCGGGTCGACCCAGGACACGTTGGAGAGGTTACGTCTCCAATCTGGTCCGGGAACGCCTTGGGGTCCTGCTGGAGGAGCTGGTGGAATTGGCCGGGGAGAGGACGGTCTGGTGCTCCCTAGTTGGGATGCTGCCCCCGCGACCCAGACCTGGATAAGCAGAGGAAGACGACGACAAGCTTAAATTTGGTCAAAGTGGTCTTAAAAAGTCTTAAATTTGGCTCCCTTAAACCTGCAGATACCCTGGTTAAGCATGATTCTGCGCACACGAAGACGCATAAGACCTGGATGATGGCGCTCAATGGTTAAAGGAATCACGGAAGCGGTGTGAAGCGCTCCGTCGCGCGTCTAGACGGTACCGTAGGAGGCGAGCTGCCATGGTTCGCCGCATGCTACCGCAGCGAGCTATCTAGGAGCGCACAGCGTCCCCCGGTCCCCTCCTCCCTGTCCGGAACTCGATCTCACCAGTCTGAAGCAGCCACCTTGTCCGTAACAAGTCCGGACCTGTTACTAGGGGCGTCGTCCGGTTTAATTACGGAAAATGTTATCCGGATGTTTGTATTCAGACACAAAGGTCTTACGGACATTTCTGCTTTTCATGGCCTGTCTGAAGGGGGCTTTAGAGAGCATTACCGGGCGTGCCGCCTCCTCAGCTCTTCTCTTTATGTAATCAGACTACATCAACATAGGGACAGCCATCCCAGGTAGGTAGGTGATAAGTTCAGGTGTTTCTGTCTTTGGGTGTAATTCTGGTCTTAGCCACTGGGGGTCGACTTCAAAACATTACTAACAAAAATAAACACTGATTATAAATTAAATTAACGCCATAGAAAAATAGATTTTTGTCCAAAAGCGTATTTTTTTCTCAAAGGAAGTTAGTTTTCTGCGTCTCCTCTGCAGCTCTCGGATCAGCGTGGAACCATGTGAGTTGGTCATTTTCTCCCTTCTTGTGTTAACTGGGACTTTGACAGAAACAACACTGGAAGAGTGGTAGAACGTGTCATCAGTTGAATTCTGACACGAGCAGTTTGTCGTTCAGCATCACATGGTTCGCGTTTAGTTCTGCAGCCTTTGCAGCCCGTTGGTAAAAAGTGTCTCTGACCTTTTCTTCAGGGTTTAGAGCTCCTCAGTCATTCCACACCTAATTATCAAAGCGTGGAGAATAAATATGTTATTAGGACCAGAATACTATTGATCATTATATTTAACCGCCTCTAAGGATTTTATAATATATTTGCTGAAAGAATTAACTTACAGCTTCATTCATTTTGTTTTCCAGTTGAACTTTCAGGACAAACTGCATGTGTGTGTTTTTAATTTTCCTCCCAGACTCTAAACATGCATCATCATCTCCACAAGGTAATTTGTTCATTTATGGTGTTATTGTGAGGAATGCTGCAGGCCGTGTTTTATACTGCTGGTTTTGTGTTTGAAGGATCCTTCTGAATGTAAATTTCTGAGAATTTCACTGCATTCACACTTTAATATGACAACCTAAAAGAAATCGCCAGAATCATGATTAAATGTTCCTAGCATCCCATTATGAACCATTAACTTCTCTTTGGGATGTTGTTGATTGAGGCCTAGTCCACACGTAGCCGGGTTTTTTGAAAACGAATATCCGCCCCTCCAAAAACTTGCATCCACACCACCTCATTTAAAAACAAACTCTGTCCACACATACCCGGATAAATACGTTGTTAAGGACATGCCAGACCTGTAGGCGGCAGTGCTTCCCCCGTTCTTAACCTCGTCCTTCGTCTGTGGTCTTCCGCAAGGAGCAGTAATTCCGCTCGCAAAAACAAACAAGCAAAAAGCGCTTGGACAATTGATAAAGTGAGCGCAGCTCTGAGGGCATCCATGCTGACGGCTAGTGTAAACACAGGTCGCACACGTGATGTCAGCATTTTTTTGTCGCGGAAAGTGACGTTGCGGACCTTAAAACTCCGGTTTTGTCTGCACACGCAGACACCCAAAACGGAGAAAACGCAGATCTTCACTTTGGCCGGAGTTTTTAAAAAGATCCGTTTTCGTGTGAAAAAACTCCGTTTTCGTGTGGATGACAGGCCAAAACGTAGAAATATATCTACGTTTTGGCAGATCCCCGGCTACGTGTGGACAGGGCCTGAGTTAAATGCTTCTCTGTGCACAGTAGAGCACAACCACACACACACTTTGCTGTACTTAGGAGTCTGTAGATTCCCATGAATCCAAACTGGCTTCAGGTCGGAGGAAAAACATCAGATTTTACTCTTAACTGTTGGGTTCTTTTTAGAAGTAAAATGTTTTGGTTTGTTCAGCACCTTCATTCATGCCTGGTTTGTATCATTTTTTTTTTCCTGGTGCTGTTTGTTTGGACTCATCACAGTGAAAGTGGTTTTAGGACCAGCATGCATCCCATTGTTTATGGAACCAGAACCATGAGGACTGTGCTCTGGTTGTTGATATGAAGCTGCTGAGTTGTTGGCTGTTCTCAATAAAATGTACATTTTACTAATGACTTAAATTATTCTGCACATTAGATTTCTGAACTGCTTTAGTTTAAACAGGGCTGCCAACTTTCATTTGAGACACACACACATCTGACTCCCTTCACACACACTCCACACCTCCACTTTGTCACACCGGTAAAGTACTGTGGTAACGTGAGCTGGAAGTTGGATATTAATCAGACCTTCCCCCCATGGTTCACCATGATCAGAGATGGATTTTTATGCCATGCCAGAGATGGCGATCTGTTGTGTTCTGGTAACTCGCTCATGAAAGCAGTGGCTCGCTAGGGGACCATCAACAAATATGTAGTCATTTGAAAAGGGATTTAAAAAAATCTAAAGCTTCCATCTTACTTGATTAAATCACTCAAAATCAATTACCAATAGTGGTACTAAGCTAGAACAGTGAGAAAACAGTTTTTAAAATGTTTTATACAATCTGATATTTAGATTTTTATTAGCAATTTAGTGATGTTCAATAGTTTCCAGGTAAATTGATTAAAATACTCCAATTATCAATGGTGTTACTAAACTAGACCAATGAGAGACAGTTTTTGTGGGCGATGGTGGCACAGGAGTTAAGTGCTCGCCCCATAATCAGGCGGTTGCAGGTCCGAGCCCCGCTCAGTCTGTCGCTGTCGTTGTGTCCTTGGTCAAGACACTTAACCCACCTTGCCTGATGGTGGTGGTCGGAGGGACCGGTGGCACCAGTGCTCGGCAGCCTCACCTCTGTCAGTGCGCCCCAGGGCAGCTGTGGCTACATCGTAGCTCATCACCACCAGTGTGTGAATGGGTGAATGACTGTGTTGTAAAGCGCCTTGGGGGGTTCCAGGACTCTAGAAGGCGCTATATCAAATACAGGCCATTTACCATATTTCATATGGCCTGTAGTGGTGGAGTGTGTTGGGCTGGTGTCTCCAGGCTTGGCGTCCCTAAATGGGCTCCCTTTAGGCTGGGGACAGGTGTCCTGACATCCTCTGGCTGCATTTAAAACAAAACAACACACTTGGAGACGAATCCACTTTCAAACACCCACAAAAACGTGGCGATTCACACAAACACAGCTTAGGCACACATACAATACTAAGCATAAATGAGTACACCCCACTACATTTGCCAGAAAACCTTTAGTTTCCTTTCAGAATCAACATTTTCTATGAGATACCAAACTACAAAATACTAACACAAATGTGGGCCATTCATAGCAAACAAAATTTGTTAATTTGCACACAAAAAAATGATTTTCCTAAAAAATCCATTCAAGCCCACGTTGAAATTAAAGATTCATTATAAAGAGGTGTGCAGCAGATGGGTGACAAAAAATGGCATTACTTAAAGAAAAGCCCTTCCAATTTCATGCTGTCAGCAATGGCTCCATGTGGAAGAGAAATGTCACATTACACAAGAAGGTGAGGGCTACAAGAAGACCAGCAAAGCTTTACTTATCAGTCACAATACTGTAGCAGAAGTGATCCAAACATTCAAGAAAGATGGAAGTGCAACCATCTTACATCTATGGAGGTTGACATCTCGACAAGAGCGTCTTCTGGTGAGAAGGGTTGAAGAAAATCACCATGCAAGTTCACTGCAGTTAGCTGAAGCAGTAGAAAGCCAATCTGGAGTGACCATTTCCCGGCACACACTGCAGAGGAATGGCATGCACGGGTATCGTCTATGAAGGAAGCCTCTCCTGAAGCCCATGCACAAAAAAACACCTAGGATTTCCTAGAGCTCATGCTGAAAGTGATGAAGACTACTGGGACTCTGGAGCGTTGAGAGAAAGCCATCTAAAAAAACCAAGCTGGCATAACATCACGTGGAGAGCCAGCAGGTTTTAGCCGTGGGGTGTGTGACAATCTTCTCCAGCTTAGGCAAGGTTACCTGCGTAAAAGAGCTTAAAGAGCAAGTCACCCCCTACCGGATTCTTACTCAACTCACCCTTCCTGTTTGAAAAATGCAACAAATGCTGTTGCCTAGCAGAACAAGAGGGCGGAGCCACTAACAACTACACACACTCATGACATTGTGACCTCATAATCTACCATCTAACATCATAGTGTACCTTTTATCCAATAGCGATGGCAGATTTAAATTCAAATGCAGTGCTGAGTTTCTACCTGACGATGGTGCATCACTGACAGTTTTAAGCAGAATATTTAAATTTTAACTAAAATGCACTAATATGCCGAATTATTGATTACATTTGTCTACAGCACAATCAGACACTCATTAATATAGTTTATCAGCAAAAAAAAAAATGGTGATTTGGAGTGACTTGCTCTTTAGGGGTGGGGGGTTGGGGGGTGGGGGAGCAGGCAAATTATCAGCTGAGTTCTGAGAGGAGACCAAGCCCCCACAATGCAGCTCTAAAGTTGAGGCAAACCCGGAAATGATATAAATTGCAGTTCCACTCTCATCCACTAGGGGCTGGTGTCAGAAGCGAGCAAATCCTCATTGACTTCCATGTTAAAAATACCAATTTCACAGCAGAAATAAACTTGTTTACAGCCTGGTACCAACACATGTTTTTTGTTTAAATGATCTAGTTTACACTCATGACAACTCTGAGGGGGGTGAATTTTTTTTCTCACTCTTCTGTTTAAGTGTATTAAAAGCCTAAAATTCTGTATAATTAATGAGCATCAGACCCACGTGACCACAGAGCTAGCTCCGTGGAAAGGCCTCAGTAGAGCCTCGGTCTGGCCTGGAAACTGTTCCGGGATTTTGAGTCTCTGTGTGTGTGTATTCTTTTTTGGATGTTTTTTGTACAATTGTTGGACAAAATGACTTGCTGTGGCATTAATTGCACTAATAGAGCATCCAAGGAGTCTCCACTTCATTTTTTTTTCGGTAAGTAAAATTATATTTATGTATTTTAGGCCACTGCCGAGCTGAGCTTAGATTTTAACATGTACTGTTTAACCATGAAATCTAAATGTAATAGGGTAAAACCCAGTGCATTTAACATAATGCTGCACTTTAGAAAATGGGTTGAAATATAACATGTTGGTGGAGCTGGGTTCCGACTATCGGCTTGTGGAGCTCTCGGGAGACCGATGTTTTCCACCCGGTTCTCGCCTCCCCGCATTTCGGCGCATCTCTGTCTGATCGCAGCTTCTGTCTGCTGCGCCAGGCTGCCGGCTTGTGGAGCTCTGGGATGGAAACCTCTCCACCCGGTTCTCCCCAGCGGCAGCTCTGCGCATCTCAGATCGCAGCGGAGCTTGTCTGCTGTGCGGCTGCCGGCTTGTGGAGCTCTCCGAGACCTCTGTGTTCCACCCGGTTTTACCCAGCGGTCAGCCCGGCGTATCTCTGACTCAGAAGCTCCGGTGTTGTGCACAGTTAACTCCGGTTGTAGCTAGGTTGCTACCTCCGTTAGCTTAGCTCCCACCTCCGCATTAGCTTTGGGTTAGCTTCAGGTTAGCTTGTAGCTAGTTCGACCGGTTGTCGTTGGTTGATCCCAGCCTTACAGCTCCACCCTCAGCTCCTCCTCTCTTCCCTTTTATGTGAATTGTCTGGGCTTGACGGAACCTGTGACACGGTCAAAATGGCGGTGGTGGCCACCTCCCATTTGGCCTCAAAAACGTGATATTGGAGCCTATGGAAAGGAGATGTCCAGTGTATTTATGTCGATGGAGGAGACCGACCTCCTCAGCTCCAACTTTTTCTAGAAAGTAAGATACAAACTCCTCACCCACTGACAGCTCAATGCCATTGGTACAAAAAGACGGGATCAAGGACAGAGCATAAAGTCCTAAAGAGAGTTCGCTGATCACCTGCTGAAGGGGGAGGTTTCAACTACCACCGTGGAGGTTAAAAGTAGAGGGTATTTGTAACCTCACCAGATGGTATGTTCTAACGTTCCCCTTGGGCGGCAAATACGAAAATTGACAGTCAGAATGCATGGGAAACAAACACTTGATCACAGTGAGAGTAACGTTTTAGGTAGCAAGAGGGTTAAGGTTAGGATGAGGGTGAGGGGAAGGTTATAAAAAGTAAAATGTTAAGGTTTAGGTGCGGTTAAATGAGCTGGCTCGGTGCCGCATTCGCGGACATCCCATCGCGTCAGTTTTACGCTGCATTGGGATCTGCAGTCAGAAAAGGGGAAAAAAAACCTTTTCGCACATAAGTAACAAAAAAGGGCACTTTTGGCGTCAGGGGTCTGACGCGGAGGGTGGCTGACCAAGCGTTTGTTCTTGACACGCTGGGAGGGAGAATGTGTTGTACAGACACACTCTCTCTAGTGGTGCGCAAAAGGCGCACCACTGCCGTGTAGCTCGCCGCGCATACAGCACCATCAGCTCAGACAAGAGGAGAAAAAAGAGACGAGTTATCCGACACTGTGCACACTCCCGCATATATATATATATGTATGTGTTGCCTGAGGATAACCCCACTGTGGTCTCAGATGTGTGGGCTGATCTTAAGTCCATCAAATAGTCTCTGCGCTAGCGCTTCCAAAAGCTGTTCAAAAGTCTCTGGCGGTATTTCCATCGTCGTCCCGGCTCCTCTTTGTTGACAATGGGGGTGTGAGGCTGGGAAGACAGATTCTTTGGTGGTGGAGAAGTTAGTCGGTTTCCAACCAGGAAATGAGAAGGGGTTAGTGGCTGAGGTTCTAGAACATCATTATATACACAAGACAATGGTCTAGAGTTCAACACTGCTTCAACCTCTGTCAGCACAGTTGTTAGTTCCTCAAAGTTCAACGAGGCCCTCCCCAGCACTCTTTTCAAACATGGTTTTACAGATCTCACAAGCCTCTCCCAGAAGCCCCCCCACCAAGCCGCCCGCTCAGCAATGAACTTCCAGGTGATTTCTTTCTCGGTAAAGAACTTAGTGAGTTCTGAGCCTTTAATCACCTGCCACATCTCTTTCAAGTCCTTATCTGCCCTTTTAAATGTTTTAGCATTGTCAGAATATTCGATCCTACATAGCCCTCTTCTAGCAATAAATCTTTTTAGGGCTAAAAGGAAGTTTTCAGTGGTCTGATCTGATACTAACTCCAAGTGTACTGCCCTTGTTACAGCACAAGTGAACAATACAATGTAAGCCTTTGTCGGTTGACTCTTAGTTTTACAAGGGTCCCGCAAAATCCACCCCAGTAACTTCAAATGCAGCTGATTCTGTTACTCTATCCTGAGGTAAAGGAGCAGTAATCTGCTGCGCCGCTTTAACCTTTAGCTTCCTGCAAATAAAACATCCAGAAACAAAGCGTTTAACGAACTGTCTCCCTCTCAAGATCCAGTATTGCTCCCATGGACGTAATTTTCACTTTAGAAGTGGGGGGGGGGGGGGGGACACGGGGGCTGAGGGGTATCTTTACAGTATGTTCTCATGGGAAGCAGGCTTCAACACAAACGGTTGTTTTCTGCTTGGTCCTAGAGCTCAACCAGTGTCAATTTAATATAGCGTAATATTGATTTTGGATGGTAAAAAGTGAAGGGGTCAAAACTTGACTTTGGAAAAAGTGGGGGGGACATGTCCCCCCGTCCCCCCCCCCCCCCAAAATTACGTCCATGATTGCTCCCTCACTTGGATTAAAGTGTCTCTAACACCAGAATGCATCACCCTTTCATGACAAGAATGAACCAATAGCTCAGAGTATTTATGACTGCTTGGTAGCACCCAGGGGTGCTGCTCTCTGACACTAAGATCAGAGTTCTGAAGTCTCCCTCCAACACATCTCAGTCCCTCTTCATCCAAAAAATTGTTTCAAATCCTTAATCTTAGAGTCTCTCTTCACATTCTGTTTCAGCTGTAACTGTAGGATTTCTGAGCTAAAGCTACTCTCCTGTGTCTGCTTCACCCAGTACCTTTCGGCAGCCCTGATCTCGGCCGCGGTCAACTCTCCTTTCAGTTTCTGACTGGATCGTGTGTTTGTCACAAATCTTTTAACCCATGCAGTTACTCTTAACACTGTCCTAAGTCTACTGTGTTTTACAGCTCTTTAGCTGTGCCCGCAAATTCTTCCTCGGGGAATTAGACAGGTTCACGATAAAACGCAATGGAGGTTCTAACACAGACAAGGTGCTGTGGTTTCAGATACCTGCGTACACGTTGAGCCCCTTAAAGATCAGTGAATAAATAATGAGAGAATAAATTGAGGTTTTCATCACTTATTCTCAGAAATTTGAGGCAAAAAGTAACTCTAAGAAACGATTATTAGATTAGATCAGAATTTTTTAGAGATTAGAATCTGATGTTTATTTCTCTCACCTAAAATCTAGAAGAGATTTGTTGATTGTTGAATTTTGAGTGGAATATCCCTTTGACTGAACAAATATAGTTTATTTGTAGCAACAAAAACAGTGAGATACTGTAGCAAACATTTTATCATTCTGAATAAAAATGTAAGCACAGAAAATACAGGGTTTTTTTTCTAACGGCATGTTCTTCTCCAGTCCAGGAGGTGGCGGTATCACATAATTGAGCTGGTTCCACAGCCGCCAACAAGCTTCAAAAGAAGAAGAAGAAGAAGAAGAAGAAGAAGCAGTGGCAACCAAAACTAAGAATTTGGTTTGTAATTGGAGAAAACCCAGCCAATTGAAACATTATCTCACGGTCTCAGACGAGCAACACGGCATGCGGTGAGTAATGTGGAACTGAGTCCCATCTTAAGCCGCCGCTGTCATGCTCAGCTAAGCTAGCTAGCTAACTAGTGTAGCTCAGGTAGAAGCTAGCAT